TCAGTTCTTTTTTGTAGGTAAATATGTTCCTTTTCTAATAATGCAGCTGTCTGAAAGAAAAATCTTTGCCTTTAAATGTTTTGTTCCAATTTCTCTCCAACTCCCTCTCCTCTCCCATTGCTTTTTTTCATGGAAACTGGAAAGAGGAAGGAAAAAACTTCCAAGGTAAGACAACTCCAAATGCAAACATATAATGAAAATTTTCAAGCAAGAACCTATTTTCAAAACCCGTGGTATGAAAATTATCTGGGCATGTTCCAGATTATTAATAAAAAAATAATCTCTGCAGTGTTTTCCCCAGCACTGACATCAACAAGTAGACTTAACTCTCAGTCTGGATCTGTAACCAATTTTCTGAAACACATAAGCCAAAATATAATATTGCTCCAATCTGGAATCTTGTTCTGACATAATACGAAAATTAGACTCTGGAAATTTTGGCTGCACTTCTGTTTTTTCACTTCCAATGAAATGCTCACAGCATACACCAAGACACGAAGCTGAAACTCAGGTGCGAGCGGAAAGAAAAGTACGATCCCACCACAGCAGACCAGGAGCTGTTCTGAACTATGGGAAAGCAACACCTCTGCAAACAGCATCCTGTGCTCCAGCCCAGAGAGGAGAAGGTGGGAGACAGGCTCAAGCAGCACTGCGCACAGTGTCACCAAACACCCGGTCAGCGTCAGCACCGCCAGCAATGTCCTTGGAACAAACACTCCTGGGAGCGTGACTGACCCTTCCCCTGGACCCAGAACGGCAAACTCCTGGGACTGGCTCCCTTGATGGCCAGGACAAGCTCACACTTGCTTCACTGGAAAGCTCATAATCATTTTCCCTGGAAGAACGAGAGGCTGTGCCAGTTCGCCTGCACTTTGTTACAGCTGAAAATGATAAGATGCTTCCAAAGCGCTGCGTTACAATAGCTGTGCCTTCAGTTTGTGGATTTATCTTCCTTTGCCCTAGATAAAACTCCATTCCTTGGACAAATTAGGTCTGCTTGTCATTCAACACTCTACCTAATGGTCTCAGCTGTGTGTTTCTGCAGTTACTGAAGCTGGAGCATTCCACAGATAGTTTTCATTGATTTGAGAAGCGAGCCAGAAATCCAGTCGTATTTTACCCAAAATGACAACAGGGCAAGTTGATGATGTAATTAGAATTATCAGAACCCTTAAATCTTAAAGGACATGTTTAAATGCAGGATGATAACAGTTTTAAAGGGGTACATAACGCAACCTGGAGATTTATAAACAGCAAGTACCTGGCAAAGTGAGGCACTAAACATTTTCTTCTTTAGTTTAGGGAGGCTGATACTGATGTGGGGTTAAGTGTATGGATTTCTAATATCATGCTATCAAGATCATCATATGCTTTTCAGAAGGCAACACCCACTACCTAAAGGCTGTGTGTCCACATGAATCCACGGCATTTTGAACTGCAGAGGCAACTCGAGATATGGGTGACATCATTCTAGTAAGGTATAGAAAAACCTTGGTTGTTTCCAAGGGACACAGCTTGGAGAAGGAGGCACAGCAATCCCTGATTATCTAAAAGGGGTTTGAGACCCATCTGCAGGCTGTGGTGAACACTAAGCAATTCCACTGCATAGCTTGCTCTGCCGTGTAGGATGAAGCCAAGACCTTATGTCTCCTGGCAGTGAGAAGATTGTTATGCTGAGGTGAGCATAAGGCCTGTAAACTGGGTTAATCACTGGCCTAACTTGATTTATTCGTTTCGATATCCAAAGATGTCTGGGCCCACTGGAATGGATACAAAGCCCGCTGCAGGCATGAAAATATTCTCCATTACTTCAGTGGGCTCTCACTACAGTCTAACACAAACCATAAGGCTCTCTAGAAGAGAGATGCTTTGGAAGTGTCAGGTATGACTCTGGGATTGTGCTGTTAATCCTAAATGGGACAAGGCAAATAACAAGTATGAAAAGTGGATAGTTGAGCCAGTAGAAACTGGCTTGAAGAAAGCTGTGTATAAAGTTATCAGTGGAGCTGCAGGTCTTTGACATGCCAGATCAGCAATGAGAGAGGGGAAACCATCTTCTCCTGGGACAGGAGCCTCTCCTCAGGTCAGGAGAATGGCTGAGGACAGAAGACAAGAAACAATAGCCAGGAACCACAGATAACAATTTTTGGGAAAGGCTGAAGGAGAAAAATCTCAGCCTTGGACCTTCAATTTTCCTCTTGATAAGGGAATACAAAAGAACACAGAACCAGTTAATTCAATGCTGGCAAAGATGAATCTGCTTTACAGAACTGTTCTTAAAAATAAAACAGCTCAAACCAACCACAGGAAGTTAATGGGTGCAAGGTATCCTTAAACCCAAAACAGAAATGCTTATGTTTGAATAAAGGCTTTTACATCAGATCTAGGGAACAAAACACACCATAAAATTGTTCTGTACCCTAGTTTTTCTTCACAAGGCCTCAGGTTATTAAGCAATTTTTCATCTGTCTCAGGTAAGAAAAAATATCACGTAGAGACAGGCAATTTCCTAATTTTGCACTAACAGATTTTTTGTATTTTAATGTTTCTGGGAATACTGACCTCAATTCCCTTGTGAGAGCATCAGACAGAATACAGAAGTTACAGCTACTGATCTAATCCAATACATTTTTGCTTCCAGGGGACTTTTTTCAAAAGCAGAGAAAGAAACTCCCTTCTTTGAGGGGAAAAAAGTCTGGAGAAAGAGCACAAAATACTCCTACCCTATCTTTAGCTTAGAGTACTTTCTCTTTGGTATCATTTTGACTCTCTGCCCAGAAACTCCAACATAAGCATCTGGATTACAAAAGTCACAAGAGAATCAAGTGTTTGAGGAAGGCTGTAGAAGAGAGAGAGATGTTTCCTTACTCCACTTTTGGGTCACAGTCCAATTTAGTAAGCTCAGCCCCTTAAAGTTTTACTAAGTTTAAATAAGGATTTATACATTTGGAAAAATGGTGTCTGGACAAAAAAAAAAAAAAAGAGAGAGAGGGAAAGGAATGAGGAATGTAATATAACCATAGGAAAGCAGAGGTGTTTCCCTTGCACTGCTCTTAATTAAGACAAAGGTCTTCACAGACCTGTAAAGAACTGGAGCAGCACCTGGATTTCCCAAAAGAATGGACACATCTTCTAAAAAATACTGTGGCACTCTTATCTCACAAGATTGGCAGGGGTACCTGCCCTGAACTTTAAGTGACGATACATCTCACTTGGCGTATTTATAGTTGTTCTGCATTTGTAGGCCAATCATTTGCTGTCACCTCATGAGACCTGCAAGAGACTCAGCACATGACAAATTCCCCTGCCTACATTTAACATCTCCAGAGAGAGATCCCAGGGGGGATCCTTCACGTGTAATATTTAAGCCAGGCTAATCTAATTCGTTAAACAAATGGCAAAAACTCTCCACGGCAGACAGAGTCTTTCATCTTTGCGACAAACCACACAGAACAAACTTTGGAATCACCCCAACTGGCAAAACTTGGCCTGAACAGCGAGTTTATTTTAGGTTTTAATATTTTCTATTTTGTTCTGCTCGCGGTTAAAACAAATGGCATAAAGCTGGTTTATGAAAACACTACCGATCACAAAAACCCTGTACCCAACAGTTCTGCACAACATTTAGAGCTCTGCAGGGACCAGTACACAGAGAGGGATTTTAATTTTCCATGGCCTGTATGTGTTATAATCTCTATCAACTGTGTGCACTCTGGGACCGTGACTAACACCATTGCTTGAACCCTGACTGGTTGTTGGCTTCCTTCCTCTGCCTTTAACACTGTTTTGAAACCCACATTTGATACAGCAATTTGGAGGGATATGCAAGCTGTTCCTCTCGAGCTGAACCCACAGGTCTGATACAGGACAACGTGAAAATAAACTGCAGATGTCTGTGAGTCCAAGCAACGGGTGTGAATGGCCACAACTCATCTCAGGGACAGAGACTTTCTCACTGGAGAAATTACACTGGTAGAGATTAAAAGACAACCCAGGACATTCCCACACCAGAACAGTCTTCACGGGTTTGCCTCCTAGTACTCCTTTCATCACATCCATGGCAAATATAACACCACATCTTGCTTGTTTATTCCATGTTTATCCTTTGGGCTGTGCCTCAACACTGCAGGAATAGTGACAACCACAGGATTAACAGGAAAGGAGAAAGAAGAATCTATGTATTAAATGGGAACCTCAGAGTTTCCCATGAAGTATCAAACCGGTCTGGAAAGAAGATTTCTGCTCCATTGAGGGCTTCTGACAGCTTTGGGTAACTAAGATAAACAGAGACTGAAGGGCTGCCTGAGACACATACAAAATTATTGAATTATGACATGTTTTAGAAGTTATTTACTTTATAGAGTATTAACGTAAGGTCCACTTCCTCTTCATATATAAGCTCAAGTATTATAAAGATTCCAACCCCCCCTTAATGAGGGGACTGCATTCAACAGCCCTCAAAACATCCATAATTACCTTTTTTGCAGGCACATTCCTAGGGAATCTTTCCAGGCAGTCCATTCCTTGTTCCAAATAACAAGCAATAGGACAAGAGGAAACAGCCTCAAGTTGTGCCAAGGGAGGTTTAGATTGGATAGCAGGAAAAATCTGATCACCTAAAGGGTTGTCAGGCACTGGAACAGGCTGCCCAGGGCTGTGTCGGAGTCACTCTCCCTGGAGGTATTTAAAAGACGTGTAGATGGGGCACTGGGCACATGGTTCAGTGGTGGGATTGGTAGTGCTGGGTTAAATGGTTGGACTCAGTGATCTTGGGGGTCTTTTTGAACCTGAACCATTCTGTGATTGCCCAGAGCCCAATTAAAACCATGGAAATTCCACTCTCACCAGGCAAATGAGGCACGTGTGGAAAGAAAACACAGGGCGTCAAAAAGGAAGAGCGGGGAAGAGGAGACGGAGCATAAAGTGATGGTTGGGATATTGCTATTAAAGCAGACGATTTGTTCTCAATTATCTGGCCCGTCTGGAGCGATTCTGCTCACCTGAGAAGTGTCATGGTTGAATATCACAGCATTCAGGTCTCCACAGTTGTAATGCTTGATGAGGTCTTCAGTGGTGTACGGGGCCTGCAAACTGCCTGCTCGAAGGCTCTCGTGCTGGAGCAGAGTTTGGTTCAGAGCAAACAGCACCTGCAGAAACGCAGACAGGAAGGGAGGTGATAAGTTAAAGATAGCAGGAATCAAAACAGCAAAGCCTAAGGGACCAAACTTAAAAAAACTCTCCTGCACCCGAGGTCTATTCGTGTGATCCATTCTGGCCCAGGGCAACAAGGGCTGGTCTTTAGGCATTCCCAAGTGGAAAAGCATTCGGATGCAAGGCCCCCTAAATAGCAAAAGACCATATCATAGACCCCTTGATGTTCCTCACAGAGTATAACTTCACAACAAATATATTGCTTAGAGGCAGTCTGGGAACTCTTGGGCACTCTGGGCTGGTTAATTGGCTACATGACAGAAATTGGAATGAAAAAGCCCCTAAATGAGGAAACTTCTACTGCCTCTGACTGCTTCCTGTCCCCTAGCTTAAATCCAAAGCTCAATCTCAGTTGAAAGGCTTTTGATAAAAATCAAAATCTTCTGAACTTCTGAAGTCACAGGTGTTGTATTGGGACTTTGTGCATCCTTGGAGTAGCAGAAACTTCAGGAAATTCATTATCAGCCTCCCTTCTTTAGTCTTTTCCCCCTTCACCCACCCATCTGCAAAGTGAACAGAGATACAGATTTATAACACTGCCCCAGCAGACTAATCCCATGTCCCCATCCCAAATTTGAAAATACCAGGAGAACTCTTTACTGTGTAAATTTGGGTAACCAAAAAAATAAATACCCTTAAAGATTAGCTTTCCCCCACCCCTTGCATTAACCAAAAAACCCCCCCAAAAACTCATTAAAAAAACCCAAGCAACCCCACACTCAAAAAAAAACCCCAAAAACAAACAAACAAAAACCCTGTACTAAATTTCCCATGAATTACCACAAATCTTTTTAGTTTTGTGACAGGCTGTGGGAATAATTTATACCAGTTACTGAACCACCAAGTCTGGGCTTTTCATGTTCAGCTTTCCAAGAATCTTCCAAGAAAACTTGATAAAAAAACGTAGGTGAATGAATCAGAAGAACAGCAGTTCAGTTTGTCACAAACTACATAAATAAACAAACACACTTTTCCTAAAATAAAATGATATGTGGTGACAGGAAATTCAGATTTCTGACAAATTATATTGATGTGTCGTTTTTCCTGAAAAGACTCCTGCATCCCTCAGTCTCACATTTCACCACTTTGTCAGCTCTTCTCATTGATAACAGCAGTGTGTCCTATCCTTCCCAGAGAACAACCATCATCTCAAAATCTTACTGGTTTAAAATTGTGATTCTCATTGAATTTTATCTGAAGTAAAAAGTCAATTGGGCTGTATATGCCTCACATATATAACAAATAGGCTGGGATATTTTATTATGAATAATAATAATGTTAATAATAATAGTAATAATAAAGTAACTTCAGGGCACTAACAGCCTCAATACAAAGCTGTTAAATGTGAACTAACATACAAAAACTGGTTGAGGAAAACCAAATGTTATTTTTTAATTTACTTTTTTTTAAAAAAAAAAAAAAGGTCTTTCAAGTGAACCTGTTATACCTCAATTCAGCAATCAGTTCCCCATTAAGATCCAAGCCTAAAAGATTTCCTTGCCCAGATCTAAGGGTCTCTTTAGGCTTTTCTACAAAGACATCAGCCAGGACCACAGCCTGAAGTTAAGCATCTTCCTAACTTGGTTTTTCCCTAATTTAAAAAATATGCAAAAAATACAGTTTGAAAAATTTCTAACCTTTGAAAGCATCTGAGCTTTCTTCTTTTTCCCCTAAGGGCTACAGCTCGAAGAGGAAATGGTTCATCCCAGGATTTCCTGGGGATTCTAAACATTTTGACTAATAAAAATAAAAGCTTAGAAAAACATTGACAGGAAAAATGAGAGCAGAGATTTTCCCAAAATGCTTTTAGCAAAATCCTTCTCATTTTTGATTTTTTAAACAATGGATGTTGCTGGATTTTTATATACGAAAATATGTATACACACAGGCACACACACATATACAAACCACCAGCAAACCCTGAGGGCAAGACAGTGTGTTTTATGATAAAATAATAAGATGGCAATAAACAAATCCTTACTTTACTCCCAATGCCTTTTTTTTTTCCTTTTTTTATTTTTTTATCTGTTATTCTGGCTTCCTGGGGAAACCAGCCCTGTGCATTACTGCCTGTCTCCTCCTAACAAATTTGGAACCTATTAGTTGATTTTGGTCACATTTGCACAGGGTTTTCTTAAAGAAAATTGTCTGTATGTTCCTTAAAAACCAGTGCCAGACTGCAGAAAAGCCAACAGTACGACTTCCCTTCTTATAAGACACCAAAGACTCCACATGAGAGAGAAGGAGTTCTTTGGAATCTACAACAGCAGACGGACCCCCATGACCTGGTCCCAACATTTCATCAGTGCCAGGACGTTCACGCCCCTGCTCTCTGCCTCAGAGCAGCTCTGGGACCTAGATGTGATGCTGGACACCAGCTTGGGGATGATCCTGTGCAGGGCCAGGAGTTGGACTCGATGATTCTCGTGGGTCCCCCCCAAATCAGCATACTCCGTTATTCTGTGATCCAGCACGCTGCTGCCCCTGGGGGAGAGCCCATCGCTGGGTTCAAACCACTGCCCCAAAAAACAGCTCAAGAGGCTTTATTTCAGGAGGAAAGTTAAAATCAGAAATTCAAACACTTGAATACGCTGAAGGAAAACTATAACCATTTAACAAATTTCTAGAGAAGTCTTGCTTAATCAAGCCACAGCCACCATGGGTTTAGGTTGGGCAGCTCAAGATGAATTTAAAGAGAAGCGAGGTCTCGTCACAGTCGCCTGCTTGTTGGCTGGATTTGTAGACCATTTCCTTCAGAGTCAGGTTAAAGCCATCTTAAAACCTGAATTTATTTTTCCTTACTGTTCAGATAATGCCACAAAAACAACGCTGTTTCCTTCTCTCTATCTTAATATCAATGACCCCACGACCTCCAGCCTAAACCCCTATCTGAGTTAAATCTCCCAGAGGTGCCTGAGATTACTGAGCAACTGATGACTTCAAAATAAACACACTTAGAGCGACTGCCTATACACAGTCCCACCTAATAAACAGAGCAGACAGGATTTGTTCTGGGAAGCGATGGGAAGTTATGACTTTGGCTCTGAGAAAGTGCATTTTTATTCCCACAATTTACGGTCCTCACCCTGGTGTGCTTTGAAGACATTTTTGCACGTCTGTCTCTGGCCCCCAATGGTTTTGACTGATCAACCTTTTTATCTGAGCGGTGCCGTTCACCCAAAACACAGATTTTATTTGGGTGTTTGAAGACACCAGCTCAGCCCTTAGGACAGACCGAAGGGTCCTGCTTTACTGCCAGCGAGAGCGGGTCCCACCAGTCCTACACAGCACCAGGAACCACCGGCCCAGACGTTTCAGGAGTTGTTTTGCACAGTCTATGTCCATGACAAGCACAAGGGGCTGGAATGTTGAGGCCTCAGCTAACAGCTGTACTGCCTGCCTTGACACTCAAACAAGTATTCTCCCTCTCCACACTCATCAAATACAGCATCATTCCTTTTTCTGTCAGCTGTGGACAGGTGGACCTGCCTACCTGTGGAACCAAGAGGAAAGGTTGCCAGGTCCACCTTTTTTATCTGACTAAGGTCCCAAATAGTGGCACAAGGGAAAAACAGCTTTGTGGGAGCACCTAATAGGCCACGTTAAATTAAGGAAACCTCCTTACTAGCAGATAAAGCTCTTAAGCAGTCCCAAACTTTCTAATGAAATATATTGCTAATAAAACAAACAACAAATTCAGGAACTAGAATGGAAGAAATAAGTTTTTTGTTAAGCTTAAGACAAGTTGGAAATGTGTTCTTCTGGTGTGTCTGCTATACAGGAGGCTTGAGGATGAAAGGAAAGGAAAGGAAAACTCTCAGGCCAAACTTTGCATCCACAGGACTCCAGTAGCTGGAGTTACAGGATGACCCCTGCACAGACCCACGATTAATAACAATACCACAAAAACAAGTACTTAAATTTCATGCTATGATGTCAACTCGTGAGCAGGCAATGTATTGTTTTTCCTTTGCTCTCTCTTTTGGACATGTGCCACCACAATGCAAATACTAAATAAGCATTACTGGAAGTGTTTGAGTGACTATATCCTGTCACTGCCCAAATTGCAATTCTGGAAAAGAAATGCCCCCTCTCCTACTCTTCAAAACAAACTGCAATATAAATATTGAGATATACAGTTCTGCAGGGGTTCTGCTTTTGTAGTTATCCTAATCTGTAATCAAATAGAAAATCATATATACAGTTTCAGGTCAAAATAGTGACTTGGGGAGGAAAAAAAAAAGGAGAAAAATGCAAGTCCCTGATTTTCCAGATTAATGAAAAGCAATAAAAGTGCTTGCCCAAATCTGTTCAGTTCCATTGGTTTCCAGAAGACGGGTTTCCCCTTTCCTTGAATCTCTTGTGCTGTTGCTAGGAATTAGTGAGCTGTGAAACTCACCTAATGAGGTCAGCATCAGGAAATAGCTTTGGAAAAACAGCTCCTGGGGGATCTACTAAAGGACTCCCCCAGTGTCCAAACGAAATCCTGGATGCATCGGCACATTGTACGGTGGGGGCTGTGAGAGGAACGTGCCCGGCTTTGTTGTTGTTTTTCCTATAAAGGGACAGCTAAGGAAAGTGAAACTATTAACTCATCCACTGGAATTTCTACTCACAAACCGTGCCCCCTGTTAAAGCTGCTCATAAAAGCCTTTCGGCTAGTTAGTTCCATATGTTCCCCAAACCCGCAGTTATTGCTTCTGAAAGGCAGGAGTAGTTAACAGTCTGCGGCTTGGCACTGACCAGGGAGACCTGAGGACCTCGCTTTTCCCCTCCTCCCTTTCAAACTGCCAATTAACCAGCTTAATAAAACAGTTTGAATCTGACCAAGGTGCTTGGAGAAACCCCGAGCCACCACCCATCCTATGGCTTATCCACACAGTGACACACGGACACGGCCTAGGGCAGAGCAGTCACTCTGCTAATGTGCAGTCCT